AATTTCTAAACATGATTTCAGTCATGTCCAACCTCCAGCAATTGTCTTATGCACGATGAGCACGCAAGAATGTCGGAATTATTCATTCCTTACCTTCTTATCTGATAACAGTTGCTGCTAATCTGCAGAAGTATTACTCAAATCTAATCAATGCAGCATCGACAAAGGTAGCCCACCAACACTATGTAATTGTTGTGCTAAGTGCTATGAGTTCATTTTTCATCGACATTCCCAAACTGTTGTACATTTTCTTTTTGCGAAACACGAATTTCGAAAGCTATAGATTTTTATGCTATTGTACCATTTTTCTGATACACTTCAAAGGCCGATGCATATGTGACTTCTATGCATAAAAACTTCGGATGACTGCTGTCGTCACACGCATCGATTTTAAACACTTCAAATGTGCACGATGAAGAGAGATCGGTCAATTATCGAATATCGCAATAGCTATAGGTAGCGCCTGAATTTCATTTGACCTTACAAAGCTTAATGCGAATAATTTTGGACATGCAAGCACATTCACAGAAGTTGATAGTCACATATAAATGAAGAAGCTTTCCTAACAATTATTATTTCGATTATTTCCAGAAAAAGAGATCTGAGTGAGGCAGACAGCAAGCAGAAAGACGAAGTGGTTAAATTTATAACAAAACTTGGACTTAAACTACACTTTAATTCAAGTATCATGATAAAGTGATTCCCTCAAAAAATTCGGCAATAAATATAAAGCGTTTAAGCATGAAGATCAGATGATAGGCTAGTGTCTACAAGAAAACCATGAAATTTAAAAAGACACATACTCAGCAAGTCCCAAAAGAGCTCCAGCGAGAGGATCTTCAGGTGTTGCACCAGGTAGCGGTGGTGTCACATCCCCAGGTTTGAGTCGATGACCGCTAGAAGAAGGTCCAGCACCACGAGACGGACCGGGATAATCTACGAATAGAAATGAAAATATTAAGGCGTCTTTTATTGCTGATCATGATTTTATGGCAAAACATACTAAAACTTTACATTTTTCTCCTCCATCTCCTACGTCTGGTCGACCATCATTTCCTTGTGATTGAAGGAAAGCGTTTCGATTTTGAATAAATGGCATATGCACCCTACAAAACAACGCTTAAGAAATCTTAAAGACATGAAACTTTCACCATTCAGAACAAAAAAGCTTGGATTTCTTTTGTCAAGAACTAATCAGAACGAAGTTCTCCAAAAACTGTTTTTAGCAAAACGCAGATAAGGAACGCTAATTGCACAGCATTTGCAATAATGTGGCTCAGCCAAGCATGAACCGCAAACATAACTTCAAAGACGATCCACATGATGAACTTTACATCAAAACAGTGATGTAACGGACAGATGTGCACCGTAATTGCGGTAAATACGTTTGAATCTACGGAGTATGAGGAGTTGCGCTTCGCAAGACAATACTTGAACTCAGGAAATTTCTTAGTATTGGGGACAGATGAAATTATAGCTATTGAGAATGGATTTTCCACATTAGCGCGCACCCAATGAATAACTCTCAAACTTTAATTGTTAGTCAATTTGGCTACAGTTGAGTACAGGGATGTTTTCGGACAAATTTCATCCGAACATCTCTTTATAGTCTATTCCTAACACAAGATAACAAAAACGCTTGCGAGCAAAGGCGGCGCGGCGAGGCCTTGGAGTTAGGGCGCGATAAATCTAAAAATCAATCGTTTTGTGGGTAGAAGATGAAAGGAGGGATATATAAAGTTTCCTTTCTATTTTCACAATTAGAGGGCCTCTTCTAAAGACTTCCAGTCGGTTCTTCATCAAGTTGAAATTTGGCTATAAGCAGTTTCGGGTATTTATGATGGTCGTAAGTGGAGAAAAATCTAATGCACAATTATCAGATCAAGTGTTGTAACAGTTAACATATCAAATCAGATTAGAGCAACGGCTCCTCCAACACCTATGTAAAAGCAAAAAGCTTAAATGGCTCCTTGCAAATTGCACATATGATATGAGACCAAAATACGATGAATGTTCGAAACATGAAGTTTTGCAGAAAACAAACTTGAATTTAACGAACAAATAAATAAAGAATAGATAAGCAAAACAGTGGGTGAAAGGGCTAGTAGCTGCTCGGCATGTTGGTTTCGCGGCGTTTTCAACCACTATATGTGTGTTCAGAAGTCTCAACTATCAGTTTTTTTGACAACTTTGCTGGTTGGTTCGAGTAGGTCGAGTCCCTTTCAATGGTTCTCTAGTTAGTGCAGGTCAGTAATAGGTTCATTGTTTGTTTGATCTTAGTAAATACAAGAGTATACTTGCGGAAACCAACACTTTCTACAGCACTCTATGCCTAAGCACATTCAGAGAAGATTCCCCGCTCATGATGGCCCAGAAATTCATCACAGGAATTTTCCCGAGCAGTTCCTTCGACGAGCGGTTTATTAGCAATGAGCATGTTTATTACTTGGTTCA